TATACGAAGTTATTATTTGATCGACTATGCTCGGCGGAAGTATGCGAGTGGGTTTGCTTCTTTGGCGTACAGTGCCAGAAAAATGTTTAGGTAAAGCGAAAATCTCACTTGTGGACAGTTTTTTATACCTACTGAGTCCGTGTGGACAGCTACAGTCGTCATCCGGCACTTAATTAGGCAAAGGGTCGCGACGCTGCTGTGGCGCGTCACGACCGCTTCGATCGGCTGTTTCCAGCCTGGTTTAGCCACTAATTTTTGCGAACAATCAAACAATTAAACAAGCAGTCAAATAAAGACCTAAAAATCGCGAAAACACTTCATCACGAGAACAAAAAAAAGAATCCACGTCCTAATACACTTCATAAAGGCAATAAAACAACTTACCTTGAAAAAAAGAAAATACAGTGAAAATTAGGGAGAAAATGGCTAAACCAGGCTGGAAACAGTTGATCGCCGCGGTCGTGACGAGCCGCAGCCGCGTCGCGACCTTTTGGCCGCCTAATTAACTGCCAGGATGACGACCGTATTCAAGGAAGGAGGACAACGATACAGTTCTCAGCTAATTGGCCGTTTGAATTAATAATGGCCTTCGTTTTTCGCCATTCCTTTCTCCACAAAGCTCCTGAGGGTATCAACTGGTACCCGATTCCATCGTTGAAATGCATGGATTAGCTTATGGGTGGTGCTAAAGTTCTTCTCGCTTAGTGTTCCCTTGATATTCCGCAGATGCCTAGGTCCTGAGTCTGACACGAACACATAGCACCGGGATAATGACTCCCGGATCACAGAGCTAATTTTCATGTAATTTTTTTTGCTGTTAATTGTTCTTTTGAGAGCGAAATGAGCATGATTTTGATTGAGTGTGTCGAATATTTCTACAAGTTCTGAAGTGAGCTCGCTTCATTTAGTAAGCGAGCCTCGAACAGCGTTTGGACGATTATTGCGTTCCTTCGCCGTGGGTAATGAGAACTATCAACTGCTTGATGCTGCGCCAGTAAAACAGTCACATGTAAGCCAAGAAACCCGATCTCTCTTCAAGGATGCAGTAGCGTTGCTGTTTTTCTTCGCTGGTATACAGGTATGGCGCTATATTTATGTAACAGAATTTTTGTGATTTTACAAATTAATTTAGTGTACACTAGTGATGATGGGCTTCCTGCAAGAACGTATAATAACAAAGGACTATCACAACAACAATGTTGATCAGGTTTGTGTTATGGGTGTATTCTATAAGCCTGTTTTGTGAAGTGCCGAGTAAGAGCAGTAATTTATAGCAGTTGTGCTGATTTCCCCCTCGACATCCCAGCGAAAGAGTGGGCGTGGCCGGGTTCTTTACTTGAACATGGCCCTGGGTGCGTTGTTTGTGGGATATTTCCATTTGATATAAGGGTTGTCCATACTTATGCAGGACGAGTCATGGTTGCAACTGTTCTGAAACTGCAAAATTTCTCCAAAGACGCAGCTGCCCTCATTCAAATGAAAGGCGCTGTTTGGTGACGGGGGCGGGGGCATTTTGCACTTTACCGACTTCTATACAGTGCGTGGACACATCCAGACAACTTTCTCGAGTTGTGACAAGATTTTATAATGATGGCTTGGCGAGCTTGCTCCAGCTTCAAAGGTTCACAGGTCTCACCAGAGTGAATCTTGTAAACCATAACTAGTTAAGGAACGAACGTGCAAAATGCAAATGCGCCTTCCCCCCCCCCCTCCGGTCGGCAAACTGCGCCCAAATGAAGTACGCAGTAATGGGCTCCGATCTCTGGAATACGGCTGCAGATAACAGGTTTGCCTGGCGCATACTGTCACGTGCGTGATACGGGGCCCTATGAACCTCACAAGCGGCAAGACATCTTCACATTAAGCATTGTTGGACCCTCTTTTTTCCATTCGCCCCAGTGTGACCTACGTCTCCTGACATACCAGCGTGGTGTAAACAAAGCAGAGGGCGTAAATGGTTTCAAAGAGTTTCTTGATTGTTGTTTTTTCTATATCCTTCTCCACTCCATCCCACCCGATCGCGCAACATTAATCACAAGATATGAGTGCTACTAGTTTGCTTGTCGGATATGTTTCGATTCGCTTGGTTCGTCTTGAATAAAAATGGGTTGACACACTAAGCCTGCTGTGATTCATGTTATCTATCACCGGTTTTAGCCAACTCCCCACAGATGGTGGAACGCCCGATTTCATTTATGGCGCTTACATAGCCTATCCTCTTTCAGTACGTATCACTTGAAGTATCCTGCCTTGAAGGCAGTTGGCACGATGATTGGGTGCTCGGCCTAAAATGCTAGTAGGGCGCTATATAGTGGGGAAATGGCGAAAGAACGGAGTGAAACGGTCAAAATCCTGCGAAAAAAGAGCCTTCGTTCTCACTGTGTTAGTAATCAATTTTGGACGAGTTTACCGAAGGCATCTTACCAATAAGCGCTACCGAAGGTACGGCTGCATATGTGTACTCATATATCCATGCAGCATCATAGCCGCTTCATACCAATGCCTTCGCTTCATAATTTGCTTAGCAAATGAATCAATTAGAGCGTCTGGAACAGTCGTCCATTTGTGGGCGGGCGGGCAAGGGGGCGTTTGGGACGTAAAGTTGTGGCTTGATAGCGCCTTATAAGGGCACCTTCCCTGGAAAAGGCATTATGCAGCGCCTGCTCAGGGTCGCGGAATTCCGTCCTGCCAGGCGTATTAGTCCTGCTCGTCTTGGAGGATTTATCGTGCCAACTGCCTTTAATGTTCTGCTCAAATCCCTTATCCTATCACCTGCTGGGACGAAATTTCCACCGTTACTGAGACCAACGCTATGGAATCGATGACCTCCCTTTCTGATGCCCCTTATCAGATCTTATCAGCTTCTATCACTACCAATTACTCTCCAGTTATTTTCTCAAATATTCTTACACTTACCTGCGTTTCATAAGTATTTCAGCGGTGTGTGAGGCTTTATTACCGTGCATTTGAGATGGAGCGAATATTTCCGGTAAATTTGTTAGATTTGGCGGGCTATGGAGTTCATTTGATAAAGTGTGCTTTATATTTCAACACTCTTCCGGCCGATCTCTATGATTCCGAATGGTGTTGAGTGCATGGCGTATCTCACGAAATTAGCGCCCGTGACTTCCTTTTCTTTTTTGTTCTTGTGACTATTCATTTGAAGGCACGGTACTCGACAAGAAGCATAGGTGCTGAAGGTGAAGTGTGCAAGTAAAGTGGCCGAGTGATCCGTCCGTGAGAAGAAAATGCCAAAGGGAACGTCGGAAACACCTTTAATATGACCCCTTCGGCCTTAGACAGTTGCACGTGCGAAATGCCAAAAAAACCGCTTATTGGGGCGACTCCAGTTTGCTAACTCCGTATGATGAACCTTGTAATCCCACAAGGGACATTGGGGATCCATTTTATTTTTTGTCCGGCAGCATCGCTTTTGGCTGGAAGGCGATCTTTGAAGGCGGAGTCTGGAGGCGGAGTCACTGGAAAAACGGAAGAACCACTGGAGCAAATCACAGCATAACCCCTACAACTTACAACTTTCGGCCGTGAAACTGGCACAAGGTTGTTTCCTGTGAACCAGACTACCCTCCCATAAGAGTCTTCTACCTTTTCATAATCATCGCGGACCGTTCCTTTGAGTAACTAGCAACGTGTTTGCGTGATTTATTTACTTTTCAACTAATCTATTGTTTACAGTTTGATCAATTCGGGGATGCTCAGTTTCTGGTGTTTTGTAACCGAGTGGTTGCAATATTCGTTTGTGCGATAGTACTCAGTTTGACATGGAGAAGGTGAGATGACCCTCCAGCTGTTAGCCTTTTCATCGGTCAAGTTTTATTGCTGAAAAAAATATGAACTTCATCGCCTTTGATCCAGCAAATGTGCACCAATATACGCTTTCACAAAAATTGCGAAATGAGTTTGTAAATATCATCATATGAATCAGATCATCTGATCAGTCCCTCATGATCCCTCCGGGGACGAGGATTGAGCTTCACCCGTCAGGCTGGATCCGTCAGGCTGGATTTGTGGCTCGGAGTGAGCGTGCGATCACTACATGACTCTGGATCCGTCCTTGCCAGGGAAAACGGCAGGTCTTCTTTTGAAAATGTCTGCTGAAGGCGGGGACGGTGCCGGTAACTCAAGTCAAAAGATTCAAAAAACTTTTTCACCGTAGATACCACCATTTTGATTGCGAAGTGAAGTCCGGTTTCCGGATTTCACCGTGAACTCGAGCGCTCTTCACTCACTCAGTTGGGAAAAGAGGCGCATTCGTTACTAGTCTGCCCCGATAATCGCGGAATATGCGTTTACCACAAAATGAAGAATTTTCTCTTTGATGGCGGGTGCGCTTCAATTCGCAGCGGGTATCACCTCTGTCGAGATGATCATTTGCTTCAATTCACAAAGTTGTGATAACCAGTTAATCTCAGTATCGCTTTTAAGGCAACCACCTCATGTGCAGCCGTTGTATGTGCATTCCTTCACGTCGATATCAAATACAATGTCTACGTGGTGCCAGTATGAAGCACTAAAATACGTCTCATTTCCTACTCAGGTAACTGTTTCACTTATTAAACGCCGGATATCTTTTTTATTAGCCTCAGCATTGGTAGCGAGTTCGCTCTAATTCAGACAATTTGCAAAACATCGAAAGTGGTTGTGACAATGTTGATGGGGCTGGTGCTTCGTGGCCAGAGGTATACATGGCAGGAATGGCTTTGTGGTGGTGCCGTAGGTATTGGAGCCAGCCTGTTCTTGTTGAGTAGTGATCGCAGTCGAAAGGAGGGTGTTGTGACGTCGGTGAGTTTGGATTTCGCAATTTTGGGTACTATTTGAAGGCAGTAACCGGTACCTATCTTGCGCTATGTAGGAGAGCTGAGCTAGGGGCATGTTGTTCTGGAGAATGGGAACTAAGAGTCGCACATTTGCTCACTCAGCGAGATGAACTTTCAGGAAGCTTTTTTCGAGATAATTTGCTTGTGTTTTGTGAGATGGTCCCCGAAATCTAAAACTAGATCATCATTCACAGATGGCGCACCTTTATCGCGGCTCATATGTGGGCAACAAATGTGCTGCAGGCTTATAACTAAAACCAATTACCCCATGATAGCGTTTGTTGGTACACATATGTTGGTGTGTCGTCTCGCACATCTTTTTGTTCCCTCATCTTTGATCTCTGATCTCTCCCCTCTGCACGTTGTCTCTCGGGCACTGTCTCTTCGTACGCTCGTCTTAATCTCGAAATAAACTGCCACGTGGAGGGTCTTGTTCTGCGCGTCTTCAACGGCTTCTGATTATCACTACCCTGTCACTTACCCTTAGAAACGTGATAGTTGGACTCCTCTACTCACCTTCGATCTCGTATGGTGCTTTTAGTTAATCGAGCCTTTCCATATTGCCAGTTGAGCCTTCAAATCAATTGAACATATTTGTGTATTTTTTTCACAAGGCTCGACTATTCAACCTCTAGCGAATAACGATCCTTTGTTATTGTTTGAGCTCTGCGAACATTCCTTATTACCTTTGGCCCTCAACAATTTTTTTTCAGGTCTCTGGAATGCTTTTAATGATTGGCTACCTTTTGTTCGATTCATACACATTGAACTATCAGAAGAAGTTATTCGACAAGAAACCAAAAATTTCGAAATACCAGGTAGGTTTCGTGTAAGTGATCCCGTGCACCCACATCTCATACAGAGCTTCAGAGTACAAACTCAGATGTGATACTTTAGATGATGATGGGGGTGAATGTGTTCTCAGCCATTCTCTGTGCAGTGTCTTTGCTCGAACAAGGCACGCTTTTCTCATCGATAGACTTCGCCTTGGAACATGATAATTTCATCCGTGATGTTTTCTTTCTCAGTCTATCGGGTGCTACGGGACAGGTACGTTGCTCAGTCAGAATTACCGCCGCGGCTGCGATGATGGGGTTCAGGAGCTGGGTTTGCGCGGCGCGTGTTGTTAGTTAACCAGTGTGCTCGCTTGCCTCTACTGCATCACATGGAGGAGTCGGCGCCTCACCAAAACCAGGCCCTTTCATGACACACCTGCCATTCATTGTGATGCGCGTTTGGCCCGACTGCGTTTAACCTTCCCACAATTTCAGCTTTTCATTTATTCAACTATAGAGAAATTCGGTCCGATCGTCTTTGCTGTAATGATGACGATACGACAGGTGATTTTTAGCGAAAAAAAACACTTTGAGGTTCCTTCTTCGTAAGTTGTCTACTCATTTACTGGTTCTTTACAGATGCTTTCCATACTCCTGTCGTCATTTCTACTATGGCCATTCTCTATCCAGCTGGTCGCTCGTTGATTATAGCGCATAGTGTTCTCCGCTATATTCCTCGATATCTACCGGCGGTACTTCGAGAAACGGCGAGCTGCTGTTAAACAGTAGTAGTTTCTCGAATAATTGCAAACTGTTATTCAATCGTGACCGTACCTGCTCTTCTGACATTCCGCCGAAAGTCTACGGTCGTGCTTGACAGAATAACTGCTGGCTGCTGAGGTATCTAGGCACCGCTTAGTCGATCGTTGTTTTGTTCCTGCTCCTTCAAAGGTACGGTGTACGATGGCAAAATGACCGATATGATGGTCATTATACAAAATACGAGTGCTAACTGACTCACCTGTCCAGTGCTACATCAAAAACATCAACAGTTATCACAAGAATGCTGAGTTATGGGCAAAAGTCGAACCCGCACCTCACGCTTTCCGGGCGAGTGCGCTATCCGTTACGCCACCAGGGCCGCTTTTACCCTCTCAGCTTAACGGCTTAGCCTTACAGCACTCACACGTTTAACTTGGTGAGCCGGTCAGCCGTAATCGTTAGATATCGGCATGGAACCGCTAGGAAAGCGGGAGGTGCGGGTTCGACTCCCGCCTGGGGCACGACTTTTGCCCATAACTCAGCATTCTTGTGATAACTTCGCAACGCGAACTGCGGCGTAAAACAGCAGTTATCATATAAACAACTTCAAAAACATCTATAGTGTCTCAGGCAAGGCTTCACTAACACCTCTAGCGTCGTAGGTGCGTTGTGCATCGGGAAGGTCACACTTGAGGCTTTGCATGAACAAATTCATAATGAGACTGATGCTTGCCTCGCACTGTTTCCTGCCTCCCCTAGTTCAGGAGATAGCGCATGGATAAGAAAAGACGTCCTGTAGCAGCGGGAGTAGGTTTACGCGTAAAGTGTGCAGCAGCACAAAGCTCAGTCGCAGCAGGTCGCGAGATAACTCGGGAATTGCGGGGGGTCGTGAGGAATGTATGTACTAGAGCCGAAATCTCCTTTGCTTCTCCCTTCTTTTACGTCATTTCAACGCCCTTTCGCGAGACGACGTTGGCATCACTTGTGATTAGTTCACCGCGGTTGTGAGCAGGTTATGCCAGGAACGTCATAAAGTTCTATATGACCGTACACCGTGCTTTAAGCTACCTTTTAGTTAAAGCTACTACAGGATTCGCGAATAGACCTATTGGGAATCACGCAGTTCAGCGCAATCTCCACCATTAAATTAGGACATAGCAGCTCAAAGTAGCAAAAAATGTGGCTGCGTTCCGCCCATCGGACAGTATTGACTTTGTTGAAAATAGGCGAATTCATCTGTTATAATAGTTTTACTATGAGCATAATGTTCACCTCAATATGTAGGATTTCCAGTATTTGCTGCTGTGTTACGTGCTCGTTTCCTTGACCATTTTTTTTCCTTTTTTCACTTTTCAGAATATTGAAAATAGGATTCGTTTAAGTGATTGATGTGGCAACATTGATATTTTGTTTTGACATGCGGGTTTTTTCACTCTGTGATAAATGTTTGACTCAAAATTGCAAACTTTTTGGTAGCGTTCTCGCGAACGCTGAAAGTTTTCCAGGAACTTGGTTTGGCTCGGTGCCGCCTACTATCTACCAATTGTGGAAACTGGCAGGCGACCCTGTTGATAGAAAAGAGTTTGGCGCTGCACACCTAACCCCCTTGAACGTCTACTTGTTCTCAGTGTTCTCAGTGTATGGTACCAACCACAGATGGATGGTGCCACACAACTACAAGGAGGCCACCATAGCTCGTCTCAATGCAAGGCCCCAACCGTATTATTGGGTAGTGCTCGTGCACGAACAACAGTGGGAGCTGATCGGGTTGTGTTCGCAGTTTGCCAACGGGGAGGGGGGGCATTTCTGCACTGCACTTTTGTTGCTTCACTACTTCTGGTTTACAAGTCTCACTCTGGTGAAACCTGTGAACTCTTGTGAAGCTGGAGCAAGCTCGTCAAGCCATCATGGTAAAACCTGTCAACTCGAGAAGAGGCTGTCTAGATGGATTGACACGTCGATGGGAGGTTAATAAAGAGCAAAATACTCCCGCCCCCCACTTCCGTCGCTAAACAGCGCCGGCTTGTTGCCTCACCTAGCCTGCGATTTCAACTTTTCTGATCACTCGAAAACGCTGTTCAACGACGATGTTCTTTCATTCGCCAACATTGGCATCAGGAGCAATTTTCGGGTTTGGTGAAAAAGCGAAGGTGTCAGTGGTCCAAACGCCCCGAGGCGCTAGAATCGGAACTAATGTCATCTGTTTTCCCCTTCGTTTGATTTGAACGAAAACATCCCATGTTTTTCAAGGGGATGAGCTAACCTGACCAGGATGTACAGCTCGTCTCATTTCTTGAAGGAGAAACAGCTGCTGTGCTCCAATTTAAACCCAAAAATTTATCTTGACAACCTGAGGTGGTCAAAAATTACAGACGACCGTGTGGAAGGACACTTCAATATTGAGTGTAATTTCGAGCAATAAATTGGTTTTGTCATCGTTTGGCTACGTGTAGATTACGAAAAGCTGGATAATTGTTTTGGCCTATCTTCTTCTCGACCTCGATGGTTTCTTCTTTCTTCGTGCCTCACTCTTTATTTCACGTAGTCTCTCGCGTCGCTCTAATTTGAACCTGAAAAAAATGTTTAGTGCCTTGTGCACACAGAGTAAGGTCCTATGGGTGGTTACTTCTTTCTAATACGGAATTTCGTATGAAGGATGATATTTCTCGTTTGATTCTACACTGTTTGATAAAGAATTTTAATGCTCTGCAGGCAGAGCGCGCTTTAATTTTTATGACATTCAGATTTTGCTGATACTACTGCAATTATATCAAGCTGTATAAAAAAACACTTTCTTCACTACTGTTAATTAATGCACTGAAGTGGTGGCAGTTACTTGGAAGTTGTGAAATATACAATCACTCCTGTTCGCAGCGAACGGCGGGGCGTGTCGCTGAAGCTGCATCCGGCGTGCCGCCAGCTGTTGAAGCGGGTAAGCAACAGCAATTGGTGGAAAATGGCTGATAGCTAGTAAAGGGTTGGAAATTTAGGCTCACATCCACATGGATTCGACGAGGATTGTGAAAGAACTTCCGAATTCAACACCTACATGGGTTCAACCAGCAATTGGGTGGATAAATGTAAGATCTATGGATCGAAATTTTGAAGCTCTACCACCACGAAAAAAAGGTGCTCAATCAGAGTGTGGTAGCAATTCGTGATCTTTACCGACCAGGGCCCATCATCGTTGGGAATTCCCCAACAGGCGGTCGTATTTGGTCGCTGGAGGGGGGAGGTCGTATTCGATGCGAAGAAATTTTGTTCGATAGTTGATATTCCTCGTATCACGGACGCTATAAAGGGGGTGTGGGTCGTATTTGCTCCTTTTTGGAAGCAGGGGGTATGGGTATTTGACTTTTGAGAGAAATTCGCGGCGTCGGGAAAAAAATTGTTCCCTTGTTGACATTTCGAGGTTTTTCAGTTTCACATCCCCCCCCCCCCTCACAATAGGCCGTCTGCTGCAATGAATGTTTGTGAAGTCGAACATAGAACTTTTAAATCGTTCGAATCAATGTTGAACAGCCCTGAGAGGCCTAACTTCGTGGCCATACACTTCACAGAAAAACTCCTGCTACTTTAGCTTTTCGTTCGGGAAAGTGGAAAATGCTCATTTTCGTCGCTCTAGTCCTATTTCATGATAACCTGACCCTTCACGTCTCCAAATTTCGCTCATTTTAGCCCAGTTTTCAAGAAAATATTTACCACTAATTCACTTACCACATTTTAATTACTATGATTATCAATAGGAGTAGCGTAGAGGCAACGGCTCCAAGAATCGTGAGCGTGAACGCAGTGTAGTTCCTGGAAAAGTGAGAAATAGGTGAAAAGAAATTTTGTCGCATTCCCCGTTGGATGTATAGAGGTAGGTGCGCGGGTGGAGCGGGAGTAGTTCCAGGCTGTATTACTGAAGCCGCACTCTGCTCGAGTGTGAAATCCAGAGTTGGTCCCGTACTGCCGGGTGAACGAAGTTTCCTTTCTCTGTGCCGCGATGAAGTGCACAGATACTCGTCTTCTTCTTCCTCGTCTTGACGTTTTTCCGCTGATGCGCGGTCCATTTTTCGAATCGACGACCCACTTTGGAAGATCTGATGAGTCTTCTTCACGGAGCTGGATCATTTTCATGTATGCAGTTATTGTGCCCTGTCAGCAGTCTCTCGATCTTCCTGTGAGCCGGTCGTCAAATTCAAAATGATATGCAGTGGGAGAGATGGTACCATGCTTATTGTTAGCTCATGCCACAGGAGTCTCCTCTCCTGCACCTTTTCTATGGTTGCTGCGACGCCCACCTCACGTTGAACAGTATCGCTGCCGATCTGGTTGAGATATACGATGTCCATCGACAATTTAAGCATCCGCATCTCCACAGTGGGGAGTTGGAGGTCGGCACCTCTGGTGGGTGGCCAGCATTCAGACCTATACAAAGCCACGAGTCGAATGATGGCTAGTTATATCTTCCGCTTTAGGCCGCTATCATACTTTGCGTTCAGCAGGCCTACCAGCGACCACCACCGTCTCGAGGGCTAGAGAAGTACAAGTATCGACCTAGCGCCTGCCAGCGTCAGCCACGGAACGAATCAAGGTCTGCTATATCTCCGCCTAATGCTGCGCTCATACTTTGCTGCAACGTCCACTAGCGTCTACTAGCGTCCACTGGCGTTCCGAGCGTCCGGCAGCGTCAGCGACTAGGAAAGTATAGATGTCGATCTAGCGTTTCCCGTACACCAGCTCCTGCCAACGTCTCGATGGCAAAGGAGGCATAGGTATCAATACCAAGTTTGCCAGCGCCTACCAACGTTCACCAGCGACCAGGAATAGTGAGTGAGCTAGGAGGAAAGCAAACAGCTGGGTTAAGAGTCGTGAAGTCGCGGCGTGTGCAACCGCACCGTACAGCTACACTACACCGTACATTGAATTGCATAATTCTGTGCTTTAGCAGTTGTGCGGTGCGGTTGCACACGCCGCAATTTCACGATGCCTTATGCAGTTGTTTGCTGCCTACTAGTCCCCATGCTTTCTTCTCCCGGTCGCTGTGAACCCTGGTGGACGCTGGAGGACATTGCAGCAAGTACGAACGCAGCATTAGGCGGAGAGCAGACCTTGATTCGTTCCGTGGCGCGGCCATATATCGGATTTGTCTGAGAGGATAAAGACACCGACATGAATAACGACCTCAGCCAGCATTGCGTAGACCATCTCATTCGAAGGCTCACAACAAATCAAAATGGGATCAGAATGCGCGCCGTGTCCCAAAAAGGGACCGATTGATAGGCAACATTATATCCTTCACCCTGCAGTGAAGTAAAAATCACAACCGGTCACGTCTGCAAATTGAATAATGTTGGGTCGAAGGAAGACTTCATCAGTTCTTCTTGTGTCTGCTGGCTCAAACCGGTATTGTGTTCGAAGAGAGCAGACCACGAGATATTTCTTTCGTACGAAGATTTCTTTGTCCAGCGGATCGTGGAGCTTTTCCCCACTGAGATGTCTTTCGTTTTGTCCATATACGCTGTACGTACAGTGGAGGGGACGATCTACTTCGTCGTCACGTGAAGGAGGAGTCATCCGCCATTTCTGTCAGGCTCAAGAAGGCGTGCATTATGCCGGCCTGCAATATGGTCGCCAATCCAAAGCAGCTGGATAATTTTCATAGTTGAGTCACTCGCGTGCAGGTCCTTGAAGATTGCTGTCCAGTGGTGGAAGACACAGCCACACAGCCTTCGGGGAAGCCTCGCTTTAGTTCATTAACTGCTGTTCATGACTGAACCCCTTGGTTGTGAAGTGTCGTGGCTTTTCAGGTACTTTGGATGGAGGCGCTCTGAAGAGAGGAGCAGTTAATATGACTGGGGGGGGGGGTACTAAGATATCTGTTTGGGTTTTAGTGTCTGCTTCACGAGCGGAACCGATTTCTTGCTTTGGGCCTCCCCCCACCCTATGTCGGACAGTATTGTTGTAGAAGTAGTGGCTAAGTTTTAGTGTTGTGTAATAGCTCACTCACTCGCTAATAAGCATAGTTCTGGCTTCTGCGGTGGTTTTGTCGCCCTGAAAAAGTTAAAACTACATCCAAACAGAGCTACCGACTTGGCGTTTTCAAGCGAAATGAATACCATAGTAGTTTGTCAGCACTAGTTGTCAGCGGTCCAAGAGGATCGGTGTTTCAAACGAATAAGCTTTTTGAGAAAATCGTTCGGAGCGCTCTAGGAGGATCTGCTTTGGACGTCAACCGATACCTACACTTCCCTCTTTGCTCTAAACGCTTATGCTCCCAAAACGCCGAGTCGGGAAGTGTGGACGCAGCCTAACACTGGTGACAATGCCACGGGGCGCTCTTCAATTTCGCATGCGTCGTTTGCAAAAAGCCACACTTTCTGACCAGCGGCTTGCTACCTGACAAGAGGGCTGTTTACGATGAAGGTAGGAAATTCAGCTGGGAAAGTAGCGCTTCAAAGTGAAGCATGCGGAATCAGCGTGTGCTTTCTTGTGGTGGTGTAGAACAAGGCAACGCATGCCGGGAGCCTCCCATTGCTTGTTCAGCTGTTTAGGTTGTAACTTGCCTAACGATTGAGGGACCAGCAGGGTGCAAGGACGAGGAAAGAAATCTATCTAATTAGGGGGATAGGCTACTAGCATACGCTCTCGTACGTTAGGGAAGCTGCCGCAGGCGGAGTTCTAATTACTGGTACGCGGAAAAGGGATCGGCATTTTTGTCAGCTGGGGAGTAAGTAATTTGGTCTCGAGCAAGTTCTTCTTTCAGACCGTTGAATTTTGTTTGTTTCAATGGACGGTATACAGGGGGAAGGGGAGAGGTTGAAAGTTCCCTGAACAAATTTCCCCAGAACGTGGCTAATAGCTATGCTGGGTCATCTATTAACTGTGGGGAGACCGACATTTTCGGTACGTTATTGTCGCCACTACCTTGGAGTGCTTACCGCAATTGCGTATAAACAATGGTATCTCTCATTCAATTCAAGGCACGACGGCAAATCGACTGGGCATCAAGGGTAATTGCGCGTAGCAACTGTGCCCTCAAGCAGACGATGCGCAAGCGCCAGTTTTCCAACCGCAGGGCTGCGCTCTAACGAAGGCGTAAGCATGCCGACCCTAGAACGCCCCCCGCGCGGCCGCCCGCGCCGAGCATGCGCTGTACGGTCCGTCGACGCCGTTGGCCCCTTTAGCGCCTCATTATACAAATACCTGTTCATATGAGGCTATTGCTAGCTTAGATTTATGATATATCATACGAGGCGGTCGTTTCCGCTCAAAGCTGGAAGTGCGCTCAATGGGAAATTCGGTCAGAGAATCTCGAGTTCATTGTTGTGAAAATAGAAGGCTTTTTTAGTGAAGTCTTTTCGCTCCGTTTAGGCTTTTTGCTTTTTTGTAATTTTTGCTCTAGCACCCCTGCCATTGCTTTGCACACAGTTTTCCGAAATAGTTGTGGCCTCACTACGCCGTTAGAGAAAACTTCGTACACTTACTCAAGAGTTATACTCGTCATGGTGACAGCACATCTTGTGCTCTGAGAAGTATCTGACTTCTGCCTTGTTCCTATCCCCTCGCCTCTCTCCCCCCCCCAGTGTCTTGAAAACTCGACCAAAGAAGTGGTTTCACATCCTCATCACAAATATCGCTTAACATGAATGTCAAGTTATGTGCATTGGCTGCAGCACCGAAAATGCCCGCAGGCATTCAATTCGCGCGTAATCAGTGGTGCTGAAGGGGGTGGGAACCTCGCTTGGAGACATTCTAGATAACCATCCTCTGATGTCACTGAAACCAACTTTCACGGCAAGAAAGAGGCACTCTAGTGGATTTAGGACATGCTCCTCTTACGAAGGGCATATTGTGGATTCACAACCCTTCAAGTAGTATATATTATAGAGTCAGCATATTAGAATGAGTGAGAGCATGGTAGTTCAGCTTCGTTACCTGGGGCATCTTTTGAAGGCAGATTGGTACGATTGGTTCTCCTATTTAGCCTTGAAATGCTAAGTAGGCCGGCGCTGTAATAGATGGCGAAAACTGGCGAAGAGAAACGGAGTGACACGGGTCAAACCATCAGCAGTGCAAGGAGAAGCCTTCGTTCTGCAGTGACTTGTAACTCGATTTCGGATACGAGTTTCCTGCGCAGGCATCATTACTAGCATCACCGCTACCCCCCCGAAGATACGGCTGCATATGTGTACGCCATTGTATGCATCGCAACTCCAGCGGTCGCTGTTCATTAACAGTCCCGCTTCGCTTCTTATTTTGTGTCATCAGCAAATGAATGAATACGAGCGTCAGAAACGGTCGTCCGTTTGTGGGCGGGCGGGCAAGGAAGGCGTTTGGGACGTAAAGTTGTTGCTCAGTAGGGCGTTTATAGGGGTGCCCTCTCAATGGAGGAGGCTTCGCGTCAGGCGACTGTCCCAGGTCACGGAATTCTGTAAGCGCCAGTTTTACAATCTTACGACCTGTATAGCGATTTTATCCGTGCCCAACGCCTTTAAGATAAGCACCTCTTAGGATGATATCGAGGACATGACCCTCCGGGTACTAATGAGATGGTGCAATCAAGTAACGCTGCATTTCCCGACTGAAGCCAGAGTAGGCGTGGCATTTGAACAGTGGCACGAGAACTGGTTCCTACTCGTGGTATATTCAGAGGTCCCCGAGACAAGCTGTCCTCTTGTTTGTGTTGGGAAAACTATCATCTTGTTCTGTGTTGGACACAGAGGCGAACGACACGATTGTGTTAATACTGAAAATCCGCAATGAAGGCACAGACGCCTTCAGATGTTGAAACAGGCGGCCACACCTACCCGATCTCAGGGATTTCGAGTATATATAGCTGAGACTTCCCCGTTGGCGCGGTGCGCCCTTTCATCCTTTATTTTAAGTATCGCCATCGGTACAGATGGTGAGCACCGCCCACATTCGCCTGTATATACCCTTGATACCCCTTGATATTAATGTCGGTCAGTCATACGGTTCGGTACGAACACGTCGTAATAAATCCTTGCACGTTCGGGTTCACTCATTGGTAAGACACCAAAGAGCATGTTCGAAGTCCATTAGAACGCGCTTCTTTCTTGCCGTGAAAGTTCGAGAGGAAGAACCCTCGCCTTATATGTTTCCAAAAAATTTCACTGCGCTTCTAAAAAAATTAGCTCAAATGGAGCGCGTACAAAACTTTGTACCCTTTTAGTGAATTTTTAGGAAAATGTAGTGTAATAGAAGACCTTCGCGTCCGGCTTCTTCGTGGGTTTCGGGGGAGCTGGTAGTTTCGGTTTTTTCGTTTTCTTAGTTGGTTCCACCTCCGGTTCCATAGTAGTGGTCTCTTCGTCAAAATCATGGCCTTTGGTCTTCTGGGGAGCAAAATCGGTGTAGTCCACAAAGGGCGCTTCTTTGGTAGTCTTTTTCTGGCTAGTGGTTCTTGTGGTAGTGGTCGTTGTAGTCGTTTTCGTTGTTTCTTCTGCCGTTGTCTCCTCCTCTTCCTCTGTAGTCGTGGTCTCCATTGTTGTTGTTGTTGTTGGTGTTGTTGTTGTTGTTGTTGTTGTTGTTGTTGTTGTTGTTGTTGTTGTTGTTGTTGTTGGGCTTCGCTATCGTCGTTCCAGTCGTCGCTTCCAAGGATGTACCAGTAGAAGATACCGCTGTGGAAGTGGTGGTCGTTTTGGCGTCATCTGCTCTCTTGACTCGCTGATTTTGCCACTGGTTTCGTATACAATCCAGCTCGTCCTGGTCTGCAGGTGAAGAGTCATCAGTACCCTAAACAGCTCGCTTTAGGCATTCAACCCACTCCCCTAGCTTACATTGAAAAAAACCAGTACTAATCTGTGAACCACCCATCCCTCTCAACACTTTCGAGCGCTGAACGCCTTCCAACTCGAAGAAGCTGTGTACGAACTGTGTGCGAAGAAAACTTAGGGCTCACGGAACAGGATTTCAGCGAAACTGCTTCCTAATAAATCCCTTTTAGGAATGAGGCGCGCATTCTACTTGCAATCAGAATCGTAGCGGCTTATTGATGCGGTGTGGCCTACACAATCACTTATGGTTCCAACCTAAGTATAAGTCAGTGCTCTCCCCACAAGCATTTGGTACAAATGTACCGTTTTCTGAGGGTAAAAGGCTTTGTTGGCCTAAGCGGCACCTGGTGAGGGATTTGATCCCCGGGTCGTGCTCGTGGTAAGCATGGAAAGCCACCCGGCCCAAAATTGAAGCAGTTGGAAATGACGAGATCTCTAATGATTATTGATTACTCCTTACCAGTTTTGCTAATGCACGCTCTCGCGGCTCAGCACGGTGAACCCCATATTGAGCTTACGCTGTTTCCACCTGGAACGTTGAACTACCATCTGTCTAGAGGTTTGCTTTGTTTATTCATTTGCAACCAGCACGGTCGATTGCTAACTTTTCGAATTTCACTATTTCAGGCGCAGAATACTTATTGTTAACGGACATATGCACTCCTTATCCCTGTGCCAGAGTAGGCGTGGCATTTGAACATGGCACGGAATTGGTTACTCGTGGAATATTCCAGTCTGGGACAACTGTCATCTTGTTCTGTGTTGGACAGAGACACGACAACAATTGTGTCAAGATGAAAATATCTCACCAGAAGCATAGACACCTTCAGGTTAAGTTGAAGCCACGCCTACCCGATCCCAGTGATTTCGAGTATATTACCAGTAAGATCGGCCCTCGGCCCGGCGAGCCTGCGTCGCCCTGACTTGCAGGCGCTTTACCTCAGGCGTGATCATGGCTAAAATGTGTCAAATGGTAACAGGGCATAAATGACTGGGTGCGACGACTTCTCCTTCTAACGCCCTTTATCAAATCTTATCAACTGCAACCAGTTCTTGTTATTACCCATCAATAGGTTTCTGTCCCATGCCCGATATCATACCTTTGAACTAACGGACTTCTACTTCTAACGCCTTTTATCAAATCTTATCAACTGCAGCCAGTTCTTGTTATTACCCATCAAAAGGATTTCTGTCCAATGCCCGATATCATACCTTTGAACTAACGTATCACTGCTGCTGTGACCCTTCCTTCTGACGCCCCTTATCAGATCTTATCAGCTGGCATCACTTACTGTCACCCACCCATAATGTTCCCGTTACAGTTCGTGTTCCTAGATCACTTCTCAGAGTCAACGTCTCACTGCCATTGGGACGGAAGCTATGAATTCTGTGACACAACAGAAATACTTAGCTGGTTACATATAGTAAAACCATTCTAGCGTTAATTGAGTTGGTCAACGCTTTTCGGTCTGTCTTGGGTAGCATTACTGGAATAGAGTGAAACTACAGGACGTGGAATATTGCTTCCCAACCCGCATACAGCTGGTATTGTAATTAGTCCCGTAGGTTTGAAAAGAGAGTGACTGTTCCCACCTGCGGCGTTTCCACCACTGGCTGGTTCCTTCCTAAATCATCAGGGACCTGAGTGTCTCCTCGTACAACTTCCTCTAATCGGTGTTTGTTCAGAAGTGGCCTCAGCTGAGGAGGCGGAAGAGTCAGTCGCAACTTGGCGTGTTGTGCGCTGTGCAAGACGCGCACAATACGCCAAGTTGCGACTGACTTGTCCCTCTCCTAAGTTCTGCACGTCGAGAGACGGACAACGCAATTGTTCGCCTCTTCGTCGTGCGCGGCGTACCGTACTGGGGGTGCGCGGCACGTTCACGATCTGGTTCAGGTTGCCAATTGGAGCGGGAAAACTCATATGAAATCAAGCATAGACAAAGGCCCATGACATCGATATTGAATTTGCCTCATCTCTTTAACACTCCTGTACGAATGAACAGGCAGTACAATCCATCCGTCCGGCACGGCGTCGCTCGTCACGTTAAATAGCGCGACGTCTGCGATGGCCGATCGCTCGTACGTCAGTAATAGCGCCGCACATATTAGCTACGTTTCATCCTTGCAGTTACATGCGTCCACAGAGCGATTCATAAGCGTCTTACAGCGTTCGAGAGCCCCCCCGCGCCCTCGTGGCAGCTGAGCGAACTGAGAAAGTACAGGTATCGATTAATGGTCCTGAACAGCATCTACCGCCTCCACCAGAGACTGCAGGGCAGAAAGTTATAAGATCAGCTGTTCTGCTTCACCTCTATCGCCACCACACTCATACTCTATCATCAGTCCTGCTGCCCTCCTGCGCCTAATACTCTCCCTAGCAGCGGCTGATATGCGGCCTGGCAGGGACGCGGGCAGACACTAGATTGAACCTATGGTCCCTGCCCCCCTGAGCAGACGCCCACTGGTCGCTGGTGGGCGCTGGCAGACGTTAGATTGATATCTATACGATCCTAGTCGCTGACGCTGCCAAACGCTCGGGACGGTGGTGCACGTTTGAGGTTGCTGGTGAACGCTGCCGCAAGTATGAACGCATCCTTACGACTGCGTTGCCATATACCCTCCTCAACTGTAACTTCTCCTTGAATCCATGCCCTAAGAGTACAGCATAACCTTTTTCGCACTCGCTGAAGAAGTTAGCAGTTCGGTTACGATTCTTGGACGCCGAAAATTCTGCGTGCACGTCTGGCTCCTACAGCTCTGTCGTGAGTTGGCGGCCTCAAATATCAGCCCTTTCAACCGACCATACGGGCGAATGCAATCAGCAAAATGAATCTCGATTTATAGCCATGTGCCATTGTCGTTTCTATTTGAGTTTGATTTCATTAGTAGGGCGTGGGTTCGGAGTATGAATGCAGGTTCTGCAAGTCGGGAGGCGGACAAAGCACTCGTTCGCCGGGTCGCCGCGTGCGGCGTGCCGTGCTGGAATGTGCGACGAATTCTCGATGTGCACCAATTTGTCGATTGGGATAGCCAAAACCCATTGAATGGAGGGCAGACTGCATGGCGAGTGGTATCGATTCCCCGTTATCAACTATTGCACGTGTCAGGCCAGGCAAGCTCTTCTGTCGGGCGCGACGGCTCACTCGTCCTCGCATCAGATTGGTCTTGGTCCTTTTGTCCATAGCTTGAAGATCCGGCATAATCTTTTTCCACTTACCTTAGGAGCTTTACCAGTTTAATTGCGATCCTGGATGTTGGCGAGACACGTCCTCTAATTCTCTCATTTGTATACCTCCGGCCATTGCTTTGCAGGCTTGATGTTTTCACTTCTGAGCCAACGGACTTTATTGAAAAGGATGGCTTTTGCGTGTGGTCAACAGAATCTACTTACTTTATTATTCTTCGCGTAGAGTGATTTGGGTTCTTTGATCACGCTCAGTCGTCTTCCGCGTGCCGTTTGTAGACTTTTTTGTCTCGTGAAGGAGCGGACCTGGTCGGAACGTTACGCCTTCAGTAAAGTTCCACCTACAAAACTCGTTGGCCCAGAAGTAGAACATCACTCCTACAACCTCCCTAGTTTGGTGGCTTTTGTACCAGGCCATTTTCATCAGGAGGTGTTGTTCCTGATAACAAACCGACACTCCCTTCGACGCCGCGTTTATGGAGTTCTCGTCTGTTCCTTTCGGTTTCATGTGATTCCCCGTTTAATCGAAACACTCTAACAGCAGGATCCAACAGGCTGTCGCGCACCCCCAGCACGGTTACGCCTCCGCGATCGAAGCGCGAATCGAGTTGCTATGTCCGCTCCCGCGTGCAGAACTTGCATTACTTCTCACCACCCGCCATTGACTACTTCAAAATATAGCGCGACGGCTCCATCGAGTCTCATTCAATACGCTCACTTATTTCATCCTCACTCTTGCTGATTACACTGCTTGCCTCACTATCAAATTCAGCACCACACAAACAACACACAACCCAACCACTATCGAAATGCATAGACTCGATTTCGATGCATTGAGAACAGGATGAATACCTAATTGGCGCCGCCTTGGGGTCAAAGTCCGCCTAATAATTCTAGGTGTTTGTTGTGTTATGTGTTTGATGGTCTACTCCTGAGCAACGAGGTTTGGAGGGGGAACTTATGTCGGAGGACGGTGTTCGACAGTAATGTGCCAACGCCCACGTTGGCATGAACCCCCGACAAAAAAGGGAAAAGGCCAAAACCAATGTTAAGCTCAATGACTCGCGGTCGGTGGGTTGGAGAAGTTAATGCACAGTATCTGCACGGCGGGAGACCGGACAATGCAATTCCGTCGCGCTTCGATCGCGTGAGGCGTACCGTGCTGGGGGTGCGCGGCACGCTTTGGATCTGCTTTAGACTTCGATTAAAACGGGGGAATTCACATGAAATCAAAGGAAAACAGAATCCATAACGCTCGATGTCATATTCTGCACCCCCTTTCAACTCCTTCCCTAATGAACAGGCGCGACAACTCGTCTGTCCGGCGCGACGTCGTTCGTCACGCCCATCAACGCGACATATTACGATTGTCTTGTCACATATCCGCCTAAAACGTGCTTCTGTCCTTCAGGTCAGTCTTGTAAGGAGTGAGGCCATAACTCTCCTCTTCCTCGCTGCAGGGAAATACCAGGTTTAGTTAGCAAATCCTTTGATGCGCAAGCAGCTTTCTAGATGCGCCACAGCCGGTGCAACCTCCTATTTAGATGACCTCTCTATCAGGCATTTTCATAATTATCAACGCTTACTTCACGGAACGCGTAAGGCGGATGGAATCGATTACCTGCAGTGCATCGCTTTTCTCATTTTAAACTCACTCAGTAGTGGGGTGGGTTGGAGTATGAATGCAGTGTTTCCGCAAGCGCCTGCAATGCGGAGAGAAACAAGCCAAACCTGCTTTTCTTTCCTAGCAGGCTGGAAGTCAATGTCTCTGAAGCAATCCCCATAATTATCGCATGAACATACGGCCATTTTCTGTCCGAGATCTGCTCTCTTATCTAATATGCCATTCATTAGAGTTGGCCTGGACTGTGAGGGGGACCACTCGGTCATACTTGCACGGGCTACGATGTTCTGAATGTATTCCTGCCTCCTAAAGTTGGTATTCCGGACATTCTCCTTCGTTTATTTGCAACATGTCGCTTCGAAACACATGCGCACACCGCCGTTGTATCAGTGTACTCTTAAAATGTTTCAATATTCCAAATGTTTGATCATCAGAACGTGTGCAGGTAACCAATATACCTTCTACTTCAATAAAGAAGCATCTGCAGCATTGGACAAGGGTCTGACATCTTGACTATAGATTCACGCGACTTCACTACGCATCGGTTTTCTTTGTCCAACGGCTATCCGAAGTTCTTCGTCAGAACATCAGGCTGCACCGATGGAGGAAAACCCTGGCAGTGAGCCATGCGCAAATGTTTCCAACAGTACTGATTTCCAGTATTCTATACGGCTGTTTATTTGTGATTAGGTGGTGACAGTATTATACGACTCCGCCTCATTTTCAGTGAATGAGCGGTGTGTGAGTAAATCTTGATTTTGACAAACAAGTATGAGTGAAATGAGTTGCTCTCGGGAATTGCACACTTTCCTTGTGTAAACAGCTGCGTTCACGTTCTGGAGAAGAAGCATGTGCGTGAAAGGGTGTTGCTTTTCAACTTCCCACGACATTTTTGTATCAGCTTTTGACCTATAGCAGCCCATGAATCGACACAGTGCCGTGTCAGATTGCGTTGTAAATATCTAGGTATTCCCATTCATTTGCAGAAGCATTGTATTTATTAGGTTGTCCGGAAAGTTCTTAGCGTTTTGGGTGTTTAACTTTAAACGATCATAACTTTCTTAACACTCATCGGATTTAATCCAAATAAGCACCATTCGAATCAGCACACTTTTGCCAATGTGGCAGCAGTCGAGAAATCCCATCAAAGAAAAACTGGGTGGTCGAGAATCCACGAAATCTGCGGTCTTTTTTGCCTGGTCCTGTTTGATGAAGTATTTCTCAGCAGGAAAGTTCTGAAAATGTCTGAAAAGGTGACAGTCGGTTGGTGAAAGGTCTAGAGAATATGGTGGGTGAGGTAGAACTTCAACTCCCAATTCGTTCAATTTATGGATAGTGATTTGTGAAACGTGTGGGCGGGTTTGTCATGCAAAAGAAATCGGACCCTTTCTTTTGATAAGTGTTGGCTGCAGCTGACAATATTTTCGGTACATTTGGTCGGTTTGTTCACAGTAGGGTTCTGCTGTGATGGTTTGGCCTGGTGATGAAAAGTTATAGTGGATTACAACAGCCGATGACCACCAAACCTGACCAGAATTTTTTTTTCGCGAGGGTTCGGCTTTGAAAATTACCTCGGTGGTTCCTCCAAATCCAACCACTGTCCGGAACGTCTCCTGTTATCATACATGATCCATTTTTCATCACAGGTGACAAATCCGTTCAAAAACGGGTCAATTCTTTTGCGCAAAAGCAGTGAAGAAGGAACCTCGAGACGTGCCGATTCCTGCCGGTCACTCCGATTGTGGGGCACCCAATTGTCGAGTTTTTTCACCTTCCCAATGCGTTCCAGACCATCTGCAACAGTGGATTTGCCAAGGCCTAGCTCTTCTGCTATCTCTCGAACTGTTTGGGATGGGTCAACCTTCAAAATCCCCCTAAAATCCTCGTCAGATATTGCTTTAGGTCGACCGCTATGAGGCTCACCTTCAAGGCTGAAATTCCAGAACGATTTGTTGAGCCATTGCCGCACAGTGCTTTCTCTAGCACTATTGGGCCTCCACACCTGGTTAATTTGTTGAGCTGTTTCGATTGCGGATTGCCCCAATTTATAGCCGAAGAAAAAAATCGTCCGAAGTGCTCTTTTCACATGCTTGAAAAATCTTGAAAAAAGAGGGTTTATCAAGCAATGGTGAAACGGCAATTATACCATCAGATAGCGCAAGAAATTCTCTACAGGATGTGCTACTGAGAAGCAAGGCAGAATGAGTTTTTAATCAGCAGTGAATGTACAAGATAGCTGTGCGGGACGTGATGGTGGTGTGTCACAAAACTCTGTGGTGAGTGTGCCCTGTGGTGTGGACACCTAATGACAAAACGAAGAGGAAACCAATAACAAAAGTATATTTTGACTTTAGTAATGATCCTCCTTCACCAATGGACCCGCCCCAGTGCCCTGGAGCGTTTGGCTTCTTTGTACCTTCGATTTTTCACAGGGCGAGAAATTGTCCGATTCGGCGAATGACAAAAATTTGGTACGTTCGCCGTCGGAGGTACTCTCGCGCTGAACAATTGTGGAATCGCTCGGGCTCTTAGTTCGGGCGGAATGGGGCGGTTTGAACCAGGTTCAGTGTTCGCTGTCCAGCACCTGCCTATAAATACGCAGTTATTCGGGCTCTGGCACTATGACGAGCAACGGTGGTGTAGCGTGTTATCATCCATTTGTCGATCTGATTGCCGAGGAACAGGAATATACACCGACAGCGCCGATTTTTTCTGTATAGAGCGTCCTAAGCCTCGGGTAGGAATTCTTTCGCTATGGTGATCATCCACTTGCGCCCACGTAACTCTTCATGGTAGAACTCGGGCGGCTTCTCATCTGCATTCATACAAAATTGACGATTGTGATTGGCTCGAGGTCCAAGACCACCCATATTTCATCTAGGGCCGGGGTGCGTTTTCACAGTCGTGAATGACATCTCATGCTGAGAACATTACTGCTAGAGGCATAGAATCGGTACTGCGTTCGTGCTTCTACAAGAAAATTAGGTACCCATGCGCACACCCTCTTGACCATCCTCAGTTTATCGGACATAACTCGGGCAGCAGTTGCAGCAGGGATGTCAGACTCGCGGGGAAGCTCGACAAAGGTCCAGGCTCTGTGATCAGACATTCAGCGCTTGACTTCATCCACCCTTTTTTCTTGTGCAGGATGAACATTATGGGACCATCCACGACAACAAATTTTTCCTTTCTTCCTTCTTCGGGCTCCTGAACCAAACCTTCCACCTTGTATTTCGAGAACACCATTACACACAACTACTGGTCCGGCGCAGGTCAAATTTGAGCAGCGCCAGACCAGTAGAACTTGACTGATTCGACCTCTTATGACGTCTGATTTGAAAATCCGGCGCTGATTTTCACCACTCAGGCTTCTTTTCAATTTCTCGAGAACT